ATTCCTGCTCAATTTGATGATTCAGTTTCTTCCTCTGTTCCCTAAGTGTAGGGATTCTCAAAGTTTCTTCTGTTTTGGCTTTGTTTCTTTATACTTCTCAACCCACCCTTGAAAATCCCCTATCCTCCCTTTGACTTTAACTATTCCCTCTAAGTGTATGACTCTGAACTCTGTGCTTCCTGTTCTTTCTTTATAGCTTGCAGTGTCTCTTTCATTTCTCAGAACTGCCTACTGGAAATACTTACTGGATATTCTGCCTGCACTTCATATTCTACTTGTCCTAAACTGATCTCATAATTATCTCTGCTTCTTGACTTCCTTTCCAATTGTTCTCAGTCAACAGTTATTTATTAAGCACCAGCTATGTGCCAAGTACAATAGTTGGTACTTCATAAATTGGTATATAAATACAATAAATTAAACAGTTTCTATCACCATTATCTCTGTCATCTCAACTTGAAATTTGTCACTTAAAACTTCATAATCAGTCTGTCACTAAGTTCTCTTTAATCCCTGAGATATCTCTAGCTTCTCTATCTCTTCCTTTCCTTTCCTAATGCCAACAACCTGATTCAGATTCAGACTTCTATTATCCCTTACCTAACCTATAGCAGTGGACTAGTAGGATATTTACAAAGGTTTCTCTGTCTCTAGTCCCTATTTTGTCCCCATTTTATCCAGAATACTCTTGCCCAATTAATATTCTTTAAGTATGACTCTGTTACCCTCTTGTTGAAAAACCAGTTGTGTTGTTAATCATCTTAAAGCAGAATTCTGATCATTTTCTTGTTTGGAAATCTTTTGTGAATTCCTACTGCCTGCAGAGTAACTTACAAACTTAACCACTTGACATAGAAGGCCTTCTAGAGTTTGATCTCAGTCTTTCTTTCTAGCTCTCTGTTCCAGGGCTTCTTTTATTGCAGCCAAACTTGACAACTGAACATGCCCTATGCTTTTCTGTCTTCCATGCCTTTGCTTGTACTGTCCCCTCTGTCTTTTATGTGTTTCTCATCCTCTCTGTTGGACTTACCATAAGATTGAAAGCAGGAAGTATATTTTACCCATCCTTGTATCCACTGTAGTAACACACAACATTTATACTAAATGCTAACAGGTCAAGAACTCATGAAAAACATGAAATTAATCTCCAACCAAAATTCCAAAATTTAAGCCATTTACACTGTTACTGAATATAACCCCCCCCCCAACACACACAATATTATACATTTTAACAAATTCAAGCCAAACAATGCAAAATAACACTTTATTTATCTGGGTCCTCTTCTGAACCAAAGTGTGTGCTTATAAAGCTATAATACCTTTGGTTTTGTTTTGCTTTTTAAAATATAGTTATATTCGAAGTGTATTAAATTGTTAGAGTTCTGGTAACATAGTGAATAATAAATATTGGTTGGTGAAATGATTCTGCTCATTTATTTGTATCACTTCATATGGCTTTCCATATTTCCTTCCATTCAATGTCTCTTTTCTTTAGCACAATAATATATAATTATATTTAGTGCATAGTAATTTATTTAGTGATTTTCTAATCATCGGATATAGTGATTGTTCCCTGTTTCTTTGCTATTATAAGTGAAACGATGATTTTGGAGAGAATATAAATAAGCCCTCTTTTCTTCCATCATTTCTTTATAATTTATTTTCAGAAAAGGGATCACTTAGGTCAAAGGTTATGATAAGTTTTGTTACTTAACCTTACACTCTCAGCATACAGTAAGTATAGTACTGCAGTATGCTGTTTTCTCCAAAGTATGCATCATTTCTTAGAATCTACTTGAGTTTACTCACTGCTTATGAGCTCCTTTATATTTTTTCTTTCCTTCCTTCCTTCCTTCCTTCCTTCCTTCCTTCCTTCCTTCCTTCCTTCCTTCCTTCCTTCCTTCCTCTTCCTTCCTTCTTTCTTTCTTTCTTTCTTTCTTTCTTTCTTTCTTTCTTTCTTTCTTTCTTTCTTTCTTTCTTTCTTTCTTTCTTTCTTTCTTTCTTTCTTTCTTTCTTTCTTTTGTCTTGGCTAGGCAGTGGGTTAAGTGACTTGCCCAGGGTCACACAGCTAGTAAATATCAGGTGTCTGAGGTTAGGTTTGAACTCAGGTCTTTTATCCACTGTGCCACCTACCTGCCCCTATATTTTTTCTCTCTGAATTTTCAAACCAAGAATGATTATCATGCAAATTATAGGATTTGTGAGCAAAATGACTTCAGTAGCCATCTAATCTAACCCACACACAAAAGGAATGCCTATCCACATATCCAAAAAGGGGTCATCAAAGGCTTCCAAGGAGGAGGAACACCCCACCCCTTAAAGCAACTCATTCCACTTTTGTACTGCTCTAATTGTTAGGAAACTTTTCCTGATAGCAAGTCTAAATTTGCCTCTTTGCAGCTTCTGGTCACTACCCCTGGTTCTGTCCTCTGACATGGTCTGATCACTTCTTCACATGACCACCCTTTAGATAACTTGAAGATAGCAGTAAAGTTCTTCCTTTCCTCCAGATTATATATAAATATGCCCATTCATTTCCTTTGACCATTCCTTACGTGTCATGTTCTCAAGGTCTTACACCATCCTTACTGTCTTCCTCTTGACACTTTCTAGCTTATCGATGTACTCTGAAACAGTGATGTCTAGAACTGAACATGGTATGCCCGTATGCCAGGTGATTACTGAGGGTAGAATACAGTAAGACTATCACGTTTTCATTCCTGTAAGCTCTGCCTCTCTAAATGTAGCCCAAGATTGCATTAGTATTTTTGGCTGGCACCTTATGCTGCTGAGTCATTCATTGAGCTTGCAGTCCACTAAAATCCTCATGTCTTTTTTAGGGCAGCTGCCATCAATCAGTCCATTTCCCTCATCCTATACTTGTGAAATTAATGTTTTTATACTTCAGTGCAAGACTTTGTGTTTCTCCCTTTTGAATTTCATGTTATTAGATTCACCTCAATATTCTAGCCTATCACAGTCCTTTCGGATCTTGACTCATTGTGTTGGCTCTCTCCCCCTTAACTTTGTGTCATCTGTAAATTTGATCCATCTATGCCTTTATTCAAATGATTGGTAAGACTGTTAAACAGTACAGGGCCAATCGCTGAGCTTGGGGAACTCCACTAGAAACCTTATGACTTGTTGATATTGACTGATTAATAATTATTTTTTTGAGCCAGCCTTTGATTGCATTATTGTGTAAGCCATATTTCTCTATCTTCTCCACAGGAATAATATGAGATACATTATAAGAAGCTTTGCTAAATATATCAGCAGCATTCCTCTCATCTCTTTGTTTAGTAATCCTGTCAAAAAAGGAAATGATATTACTTTGACATGACCTGTTTTTGATGAAGCTGCGCTGGCTTTTTGTCATCACTGCTTCTTTTTCTAGATGTTTGACAACCATTTCTTTAATGATGCATTCTAAAATTACCCCGGGAATTGAAGTCCTCTTCATTGCTATCGTGGTAATGTAAAAGGACATTTACTTAAAAATATAAATACAAGATACATAGCAACATTCTTGTGACTTGTTACCTAAAACTACGACCCGCTATACCACCTGTCCTAGGAGGGTCTGAGCCCCTTATTTCTGCCCTGTGGGCTGGCTCATGGACCTAGCACAATGCTGCAAATTATTTTGTACAAAACAATAATCTGGTATAATAACTTTCCCATTGGATGAGCACAGTTAATCTTAGGACCTGAAAGGTGAAACTGCCTTGCTGTCTGAAAGGTGTCACATCTCAGCATTGAATCTGCAAAGCACTGAAATCTGGTAAATGTGACTTCTTAGGATCAGAGCCACAGCCTTTAGAAAGCTATCTGGGAATATACAAAAAGAAAACTTAGACCTAGAGATGTTAATTGACTTGTCTCGGCTTATATGCCATAAAAGTGGGAGAACCAGGATTCAAAGCCAATTAAGCCACAGTGTTCTAAGAGCATTTATTTAAAGATAGAACTGGGAAGAGGACAGCAAATGGGTGAAAAATGGAAAATGTCTCCCAAGATTTTGTAACAGATTCCTCCATCAGCGACAATGGACCTATCATTTGGACCTTGACATCTTATATGGTACTAAAGAAAACAAAAGAAGAGAAGAGCCAGCTATAGTATACCTATTTAAAAAATGATCTTTCTCTTCTAGGTAGTAAAATTTTGAGACTGATAGATCAATTCTTAAGATATCAAATGAAGGAAAATAAATCATAGATGTTAGCACTACCAAAGAAAGATGACTGAGAAAATAACAATTACTGATCCATGTACTTTTTGTGCTTCTTCACATGTTTTGAAAGGGTTAGTTAAGTGGAAAGTGATTCAAAGTGCTTCAGAACTATTTTCTAGGGAGATTGAGTGGGCTGGGCTCCTTTCATGAGTATTTGTACCCTAGAAATGCATGAATTAAAGAGATGCGCTTTAGGTTCACAGCAGCAACTAGGAGGTCCAGAGGACCTGGAGTCAGGAAGATTTGAGTTCAAATTTAACATCAGACACCTGCTAGTTGTGTGCTGCTGGACAAATCACTTATTATCTATCTGGCCCAGTTTCCTTATATGTAAAAAGGAGATAATTTCACCTACCTTCCAGGGATTTTGTGAGGTAAACATTGAAGAGCTATGTAAATGTTGGTTATTATTATAATGTTATCATTGTTCTGGGTCATATTACTATGAATCCAAAAGAATTTTCCTACTTAGAAAGTAAGACTGTATGTATTCCCCTTTTTCAAGTAGGTATTCTCTGATTATTTATGCTAAAGAAACAAAGCATTAGTTATAAAAACCAAACAAACCAACCCTGTTCAAGTTATGAATACAGCAGATTATATCTTATTTATCAGAAATATAAAATTCCATGTTTGGCAATTTTCTTTAAAGTTTTCATTTCATACTTTTTGTAATAGGTGATATATTCCTTAAACTAACATATATTTTCAGATAAATCCTTTTCCACTGTGGCTTACTTTTATACCTCCTTCTTCTTGTTAGGCACCACCAGGAAATGTGAAAATGCCTAATGTACCTAGTACGCAACCAGCGATAATGAAGCCAACAGAAGAACCCTCAGCTTATACACAAATTGCAAAGGTTAGTTCATGATAATGGAGAAAATTTTCTTTGGAAATATAATTGCAACAAATATTTTGAGATTACATTTCTTCTGTTCATTTTAAATGGTTCTGTTTGGTTAATCTTCATGACTGTTATGTCTGTTGGCCAGCGTGGGTGACCTTTTGGACAACCACACTACTACCCTGCCTGATCGTTTCATTGTTGAATACATACACCTTACCTTATGGATTTAAAGGCTTTTTATTATTTCAGGTCATTTGTTAGCACAGAGTACTAGTATCACAATAGTGGTGAAATGAAGGAAGTTACTGCTTGGGAAAGAGGATCAAGTGTCTACATAGCCACAAGCTGGCTGAGTGCCAGGAGAGGGAGCCATTGTGAAAGTTAAAAAGTGGTAAAAGTATGATACACTGACCAGGACACTGTATGATAAATCAAATAAAAACTACGGTCCTATGTCCTCTCGTGGATTTAATAACAACATATATTAAAAGCAATTTCTTAGCAGCAATAATCTTCCTTTGAGCCACCTTACTTAGCCTAACTCAATAAGGCTTTTTGTCAGATCCCAGGAAGCCCAAGTAGGCCCAGCCTTCTTATAAGTATTTTTCAAATATGTGGGAAAATGCTAAATTTTTACCTAATGATGTAGATATGTAGTTGGAAAAATTTTTTAAATGTTTGCATTTTAGCATTCTGTTAGCATTCTTAATTGTCGTGACTTCTTTCTTCAGGAACATGCATTGGCCCAAGCTGAACTGCTTAAGCGCCAGGAAGAGTTAGAACGAAAAGCAGCAGAGTTAGATCGCCGGGAAAGAGAAATGCAGAGCCTCAATCAGCATGGTGGTATGCATTGGAACTGCTCAGAAATTTTTAAGCAAGTTTGAAAATTGCACTTACAATGCTAACTGCTATTTTGGTTTTCATATATTATCCAGGTCTTGTGCCTCAGCTTTTAGGAAGCATATATAGTGAAGATCCCCTATCTAGATTTAAGCATTGGCTTTTAAAAATTGGGCTAGAGAGCTTGTAGGATAGATTATCCAGCCTAAGAAAAGTAGGAGCATTTTTCTAGAATCCTATATTTTAACTCACAGCGAATAACAACATATTTTTTTTTGTCTAATATTTGTTTTGTGGCTGTTCTTTGAACAATATGGGGAAGTCCGTTATGGTGATTCTAGGGTCTTACTGGCCATGTTTAACAGTTCTAAATTAAGGAAAAGGAAAAAGCAGAATTTCTTATTAGTTATCTTTGCAATGCTTAAGACCTCAACAGAAAGGTTTCTCTTGTCAGGTTAGAACACATTTGTCCTTGTAGGAAGATTGAAAGTAGGGAGTTGAGTCTGGGTGGCAGAGTGAGAGGTAGTATTTTTTGCCTTAGCTTTTCCATAGCTTTTTCCACAGTGACCTAAAAGCACAGCAAGCTGAATTCTGATCAAGAAAGCCAAGAAAAAGTCACAGTGAGTCATTTTTCTAGCCCAGGAGAGTTGAGGAAGATAAAAAGGTCTGTGGATGCTGTGGTGTCTAGGAGTATAGCATTGCAGTATCAGTAGTAGCAGCAGTGAGGAGCAACCCAGCACCAGTAAGGGAACTGAACACCAGGGAATAAAGAGATCCCAGGGAACCCATGTACTAATACTAGGAGCAGGAGCAGTTGATATCTGGCAGCTCTGTCACCCATTATTCATTTCTGGGTCATGGTAGAGAGGAGTGGTTGTGGTTTTGAGGGAAGAGAGGTCCTGCCCGTGTAAGAAACAAAGAAGTTCCAGAATTAGTATTGTGGTTCTGAGCCCAAGAACTGAGAGGGGTCTCAATTCTAACCTTTAACCCTCTATGTAAGCCTGTAGTGTAATAAATCAGGGCAGGCAACAAAAAGGTCTCCAGTGCATTCCAAGGGGGAGTCAGCAGTTCATTTGCTCTGAACTTGCCAAACTTTCCAGCAGCAGTTTACGGAAACTGAACCACACATAAGTGAACAGACCCGAAATGTGTCAGGAACTTACAGAGCTCAGACCAGTAGGGCAATGAATGGACCTCTCCCCAGATCACACCACTTTGGAATAACTGAAAACTTACAGGACTCATCACTAACATAAAGTCCAGAATCAAGAAGTACGCTGGAAAAATGAACAAATAAAAACCTGACCATAAAAAGTTACTATGAGGACAGGGAAGCTCAAGACACAAACATAGAAGACAGTGACTTAAAAACATCTACAAGCAATGCATCAAAGAAAAATGCAGATTGGACACAAGTATTACAAGAGTTCCTGGAAGAGTTAAATAGATTTTAAAAAACAAACAAAACAAGATTTTAATAAGTAAGAGTGGTAGAGGAAAAATTGGAAAAGAAAGGAGAGCTATGCAATAAAATTATGAAAAGGGAATTAACAGCTTGGTAAAAGAGATACAAAACCTCACTAAAGAAAATACTCTTGGGGGCTACTAGATGGAGCAGTGGATAGAGCACTGGCCCTGGAGTCAGGAGGACCTAAGTTCAAATCTGGCCTCAGACACATAGCACTCACTATCTGTGTGACTCTGGGCAAGTCACTTAACCCCAATTGCCTCACAAAAAAAAAAAAAAGAAAAGAACTCTTTAAAAATTAGAATTAGCCAAGTAGAAGCTAATGATTCTAGAGACTGGGAAAAAAAAAAGAAAATGTGAAATATCACATAGGAAAAATAATAGTCCTGGAAAATAGGTCAGGGAGACTTAATCTAAGGATAATTGTACTACCAGAAACCCATGAACAAAAAAAGAGCCTAGACATCATGTTTCCAAGAAATTAAGAAGGAAAACTGCCTAGATATCATACAACCAGAGGGTAAAGTAGAAATTTAAAGAATCTACCAATCATTTCCTGAAAGATATCTCAAAATGAAAACTCCTAGGAATATTATAACCAAAATCCTGAGCTCCCAAGTCAAGAAGAAAATATTGCAAGCAGCCCGAAAGAAACCATTCAAATGTTATATTTCGTTGCATAATCATCTCAGATTTTATGCCAGTTTTTTTGAGAGGGGGCAAAAAAGTGGGGTGTGGCCATTATATGAAGCTTTAAAAAAAATTTGTGCCAGTATTACTTAAAAATCATTTATTACTAAACTGTCTTTGCTGCAAGATTAGGATGCATGGAATACTTGTGAATACACGTTAAAATTGAATACTGACAATGCATGTGCACTGAGAATTCTAGGCTTGTGGGCAGTGTGCAAGAGAGAAATGCAAAAGAGAGAAATGCATATCCATGTACCACTGGTGAATACATTGCTACTGTGTTTACCTTTTAAGTGGTGTGATGAACAGAATTATAGCATGCGACGATTACACAATGAAAGATTATAAACCAATTTTTGGACTGAAAAAAAAAAAAAACCAAACCAAAAACCAAAACCCAACAACAATAACAGTGTGTGACAATTCTGCAGTGGCAATGATTATGTGGTGAAATAGGGTACAATGAAGTCAGAGTTGGGATCACACAAGATTTAGCGCCTGTCGCTTTTATGAAACAGAGGTCTTGGAATATGATATTTCGGAAGGCAGGGGAGCTAGATATAACCAAGAATAACTCACCCAGCAAAACTTAATAATTCTTCAGGGGAAAAAATGGACATTAATGAAATAGAGGACTTTCAAGCATTCCTGATGAAAAGACCAGCTCTAAATAGAAAAAGACATTCAAACACAAGAAATCATAAGGGACTAAACAAGGTTAAATTGTTTATGTTCTAATATGAGAAGATGATACACATTCTAAGCCCTCAGAACTTGATCATCACTAGAGCTGTTAGGAGTCATCTACTTATATGGAGGACATGGTTGTGATTCTGTTATTTTGAGGTAATCTCAAAAGAAGAAGGATAAGAAAGAGGAAGAGAGAAGAAGGATGGGGAAAATTATCTCAATAAATAAAGTACACAGTGGAAGGGAAGCATGGGAGGAAACGTAACACTTGAACCTTACTCTCATCTGAACTATTTCATGGAGGGAAGAATATACATGCATACAGAATCAGATACAGAAATTTGTTTTGCCCAACAGGGAAGTAGGAGGGAAAAGCGTTCAGCAAAAGGAGGGGGAAGAATAAGAGGACAGGTAGATTAAAGGAGGCAGTGCTCAGAAGCAAACACTCTGGAGGACTGGGGGACAGAGTGAAAAAGAGAAGGATAAATTTAAGCGAATAGGATTGCGGGAAATACAATTAGCAATCCTAACTATAAATGTGAATATGATGAGCTCACCAAACCAGTTGTGCTGAAAATATTAAGTCAGCAAGCATTTATTAAGTGCTTCCTCTTTGCCTTGTACTTTGCTGAATGCTAGAGATACAAAAAATTGCAAAAGACAGTCTCAAGGAGCTTGCTGTCTAGTGGTGTTGTTTACTACATGTAAACAACTGTAAAAACAAGATATACATATATATACACACACATATACATACATACATAAACACATACATGTGTATACATATATACATACACACACATATCTGTCTGTCTATAAAAGAGGAGTTAGAGATCATCTCAGAGGGGAGGTACTAGAATAAAGAGAGATTGAGAAAGACTTGCAGAAAAGGTCTGACTTTAGCTGAGAGTTAAAGGAGGCCAGAAGACAGATGAGGAGGGGGAGAATTCTAAGGCTAATTGATAACCAGTAAAAATGCCCAGGGTAGAGGGATGGGAAGAAGTGTCTTGTGCAGGGAAGAGCAAGGGGACTAGTGTCAGTAAATTGCAGAGTATGTGGTAGTGAGTAAGGTTTAAAAAGACTGGAAATATTCAGTAATGAAAGGCTTTAAAAGTTGAAGAATTTGTTATTTGATCCTAGGGATAATAGGGAGCCACTGAAGAATATTAAATAGGGGAGTTACTGTTACATGGTCAGACCTTCACTTTAAGAAGATCAGTTTAACAGCTCAGTGGAGGAGGGACTGGAGATGAGATGCTTGAGGCAGGGAGAGGGTAGGGTGAGAGTGGGAGGAGCTAAGAATGACAGGCTGTGAGGCTGGGTGATTGGGACCTGTCAGTGCCCTTGATAATAGTAATAGGGATGTTAGGAAGAGGGTAGGGCTTAGGGGGAAAGAAAATGAGTTCCATTTTGGACATGTTGAATTTCAGATTTCTGTGGGATATCCATTTCAGAGATGTCAGTCAGCCAGCCAGCAAGCATTTATTAAGTTCATACTATATGCCAGACACTGTTCTAAGTGTTGGGAATACAAATAGAAACAGAAAGAAAGAATTGGAGTTTACATTTCTATTGCCTGAAGAAAACACAGAAAAAGAAGCTGAAAAGGTGGGAGAGAGTGTTAAACATGAGAGACTCTAAGGTACTTGATCATGGTAGAGAAATTCTGGAGTGTAGCCTAAAGAGGAATTGAGATGTGGCTGGCCTGGGTGCCCTCTTTAAATGAAGGTTCTGGGAAGAGCCGTCCAATCAGAGGGGGAGGCCACAAGGCAAAAAGTAGCTTGAGTGTATGAATTTTGGACCTGGAGTGAGCTTCCAGGATGAAGAGTTTTCTGGGAATGGCAGAGAAGTTCTGGAGAGGAATGTTATGAGATTACAAAGATTACCTTTTTTTTTTTTGAGGCAGTTGGGGTTAAATGACTTGCCCAGGGTCACACAGCTAGTAACTAGTAAGTGTCAAGTGTCTTGTTCTGAGACTGTATTTGAACTCAGGTTCTCCTGACTCAGGGGCCGATGCTTTATCCACTGTGCTGCCTACCTGTCCCTACAAAGTATTTATATTTTAAAGATTTTAATGTCCAATGTGTTGTTCTGGTAATTTGGCATTTTTAGAGGCATAGATTGAAATATGTAGTTAACGATACATAATTTGCAGAGTGATTAGAAATCATAAGGCAAACATATTTTTTCTAACCTGCTACTCTGATAACTCGTTGGCATGGAGGTGACCTGGATTCTCAAAAACGATTTTGTTGAAATGCAAGTTCTGACAGGTCTTGTTATACTAGAAGGGCTTTCATTGTACTCTGTCAAAGATGTGAATCATAACCAACTTAACTCAGTTGCGGGAGGCTCATTCCCAAAAGGTTGGATACCATGTAATTAGTTTTTAAGCAAAGCAGCCTGAGAAAGAGGCTTACTGCCCTTCAGTTGTAGCAGATTTGTAGTGTGCGTTAAGAGTGTAGTAACCACTCTTATGAAGTCACATGTTTTATAGAGTAAGGAAGGTAAGACATATTTTAAATGAGAAGATCTCTTTGATGTGATATACTAAATAAGAATAACAAATGTGGCCTGGTTTTAAAATTACTTGTTTTTTTCATTTGCAGGCAGAAAAAATAATTGGCCACCTCTTCCTGGTAATTTTCCAGTGGGACCATGTTTCTATCAGGATTTTTCTGTAGACATCCCTGTAGAATTTCAGAAGACAGTAAAGATTATGTACTACTTGTGGATGTGTGAGTATAGAATAAACCATATAATTTGTATGGACCTTTTATTTTGTCATCAGAATCTAACATTTCTATTTTAAGACTCAAGTTATGAAGTTATTATGTTAAAATTTTTCCTTTTTTAAAATACCAAATCTCAGCTTCAAGATCCAAGACATATTGATGTACTTGAGAGTTGTAAATACAAATGATAGCGAATCTCCTTGCCAGAGATAACTATTTTTATTTAAGCATCTGTTTAACCTTAGGAGGAAAAAAGTGTAAAAGACTTGAATTCTTTTGAGGAAAAATGTGTATAGAACTGTCCTAGCATGTGATAGGTGATCTTTTTGTAACAATTCCTTCTTCTTTCAAAATGTATTCTCTTTGTAGTGATTATTTTAAAAATAATAGCATTAAAAATAGCATATGGTGTTATTTTTGTGCACAAGAAAGAACGGTTAATTTTATATTTATGTTAAATGTGGGTATGTGGCTCCTTTCAACAATGGAGTTAGAATACGCGACTGCAGAATAAACTGAATCTTTTATCATAGCTTCTACTCTAATTAGATACTAAAGTAGTAATTATTTAGGAAAAGTAAGTGTATTTTCATTAGTGGGAGAAGTGCCATTGATTATGGTGGCACCTGTAGCCTCGAGGCCACATGCAGCCCTCTCTGGGTCCTCAGGTGTGGCCCTTTAGGACCTAGAGGGCCTCATGTGACCTCGAGGCTGCAGATTCCCCACACCTGAATTAGAGCCTCCAGTTTTTATCAGAGGTACCCAGAGCATTTCCAAAATAATTGTAATATTTATTTTAAAATTTCAAGAATCAAGGTTTTTATTAGGGTGTTTACCCCTTCTACTGATTAAGATTATAATTCCTTCATTAGTTGATATACTCTCTTCTGCCTCTCTCCAAAAAAGTCTTTGGTGATGCATCTCTGAATGTAGCTTAATTGATCCTCAGAGGAAAGGTACATATTTGCTGCTGAATGTATACCTGATAGTCTTTTCATCCTGATAAGACCTGCCTAGTTTCTGCTTAACTGACATAGCTTTTAAGAACCCAGGGATGAGACCATTGGCAGAGGACTTTAGTAGAAGAATTGTAGCCCAGGATCCTAAAATATACCATCTTACTGTTCTTAGCTATAGCCCAAAATTGCACTATATTTTATAGAGCTCCCTGTTGAGTTTTGTTTAGTCTTGATGCTGGTTTGTATCTGATGCCAGCCAGGATCTCATTTAGTACCACTAGTAGAAGGCAATAGGAGAACTTGTAGAAAGAAGCATAGTACTCTTTGTGTTAGGTGGAAGAAGTGGGAGTGTCTGATAGTTTTCCCTAAATTAAGTAGCAGAACTGTAGCTTGTACGTTACTTTTCCTAGGTCAGATTTATTTCTTCACAAATTATAATATTGACAGATCAAATTCATTTGTTCTTGCTTTAAGATATATAAAGGCCTTTTCCCCCCCCTTAAATTGTGAGTCCACAATTCCGCCTAATAGAACAGTCACATTGTTTATTTAAATGAGGCCATTATGGATATGAAAACAAGACAGTTTGCATCCTTTGACTTAAGCTATTATTATTTTAAATATTTCTGGTAGCTGTTTTATTGAAATCCCTAGTTCCTGTGTTGAACTCTTACATTTATCATTTTTATCCATTCTAATGTAAAGGGTAGAGATTTCATATTTGTGTCCATTCAACCTCATATAAGCATATTTTATTAAAGATATAGGTTATAATTTATTATGGAAGAAGTTCGCATTACTAGTTTTATATTCTCTGCCTTAGTGAATTTCTTGCCATCAAATTATTTAGTAACAAGATTAATATATAGTGAGAGGTAACTTTGCAGAAACAGATGGTTTTGTCACAAAAACTGACAAGTGTTTGTATTTTTCTTAAGATGGATGAGAATATTCTGGGTACCTTTCCCAGCCCTATTCATGATACAGCTGTAAACCTCACATAAACCTAGGGAGAGCAAAGATTCCTTTTCTGGTTTTGACTTAGAGGAAAATTGTGACACACATCCAGTTCTTACTTTATGGTGAAGACAACTCTTTCTTTTTTTTTTTTCTTTTTTAGGCAATTAGGGTTAAGTGACTTGCCCAGGGTCACATGGCTAGTGTTTGGTCTGAGATCAGATTTGAACTCAGGTCCTCCTCACTTCAGGGCCGGTGCTCTATCCACTGCGCCACCTAGCTGCCCCAAGAGAACTCTTTTTCATAATAGTTCATCTCTTCCCACTGTAACACACTGCCTCCTAGGGAGATGAAGACATGGGTGAATGAAAAAGCGATTGTTAAGCTCTTTATATGCAAACTCTGGGGATACAAATACAAAAGCAAAGTCAGATCTTGCCCCCTGGAAGCTTACTTTCTAATGGAGTAGAGGATGCACAAAGGGAGTGGTAGCTAGGGAGAAGCAATTTTAGTCTTAAATTTTGGGGGTGGTTAGTGGGGCCCTTTGGGGAATAGATCTGTGTAGATTCTCTTTAAGAAGAATGTCTGAGTTGACTTGATCCTGGTTCCAGAACTGATTGGGGTTGGGGGAAAGTCGGAAGAAAGGAGGATAGGTATTACAGTAGATGGATGGGAGAGAAGTACAAAAGAAAGTAAAGAAGTTTTGTCTCCTTTAGATGTATCGATAAGCAATGCGGCATAGTTGATTGTTAGGACTGAGAAAGATCTAAATTTAAATTCCATCTTTGGATAGTAGATTTGTGACCCTGGGCAAATAATTTATTTCACCCTTCTGAGCTGCAGGCAGTGGTAAAAATTATAGATGACTTGTGATGTGCATTGATAGAGGCAGTCCCACACTGACTAAATCCCAGGTCCTTGATGTGTCTACGTATTATTTGAGAACATGTTGAAGGTTAGGTATTATTTGAGTATTTCCCCAGATATCTCTTCATAGAAATTATGCTAATAGGTGATTTTCTCCATGTGTGCTTTTTAAAAAATATTTTGCATTAACTTTAAAACCATTGCTATATCTTATGGTACCTTTCTGTGCATGGAAGGAATTTGATCAATATTTAAAAAAAAAAACCTTACAGGTGGGCTGAGAGATAGTCTATAAAAGAAGTCATAATATGCCCTCAAGACTTGACAGAAATAACCACAAAATTAGAAATACTTCATAAGGAGATCACAAACTAAATACAGCAGGAAAAGCCCTAAAGAATTTAATTATGGATAGATGTTTCTGGAGTGTAAAAAAAAGAATTAACACTAAGTACTTTGGAGTAATTTACTAAATGGTATTCTAGCCGCAAGAGCTGACTGAACCACACAGATGCCCTGTATGGTCTTCTACTGTGCTCTTTTCTGTTCCAGTGTAAAATTATTTAATTTTTTAATGAGAAACAGCACAGTGTAGTGGGAAGAGCACTGGCCATGGAATCTAGAGAGACCTATCGTGCAGTCCTCTTTAAATACTTATTCATTGTGTGAATGTGGACTGATCACTTAACAATCCTGGCTTCATTTTATTCATCTCTAAGGTGGGATAATAATCTCTGTGGTACCTATCTCCCAAAGTTGTCATAAAGATCAAATGAGGTAATTCATATGTTCTTTGAAATTTTTGGACTATTTCCTAAATGTCTTTGATAATATAACAAAGCTTTCCTGAAATGTCCAATTTTTAAGGCAATACAAGTAGTTTTATTTTTATGTTGCCTTATGTTAGAATCAAGAAATTTTATATATATGTGTGTGTGTGTGTGTGTGTATATATATATATGTATATGTATTGTGTGTGTGTGTGTAAAATTTCACAATAGTGAGAGGTAGCACAATGTAGTGGATACATGTTTTGAAAGACCTGGATTTAAGCCTCACCATTGATATACACTAGCTGTGTGATATTGGGCAAGTGATTTAATCTCTGTGCTGCTGACAGTGTTCCAAGACTATAATTTGAAGAATAGCTCCTGATTTGTATTGATAGAGGGAGTTTCCACCCTTAGATATCCCCTGCATCATTGGAATCACAGGTTTAGTCCAAGAAAATATTTTTCTCCCCATAAGATTTTTAAAATGTACAGTTTAAAGGGTCAAAAATAACCTTTAAATCTTGTTCTAAGAGTATTTTGATCCTATAGAGATGCATTGTGGTATATTGGATAATTAGGTCTGGAGTCAAGAATACCTTGGTTCAGATGTTGCCTTAGACTTGTCTCTGAAACCAGGGGAAAGTCACTTAATTTTTCTAAGCCTTGGTTTCCTCATCTGTACCATTAGGGAGGTAGACTCAGTGACTCCTAAGGGCTCTTCCAGCTTATAAGTCCGTGGTCCTCTGCTCTGATGCCTTTTGTTCCTCATTTAGTTTTAACTTGAAGAACTTTTAGGTTTCCTTGTACTGTTTTATCTTCAAATAAAAGTTTATTATGTGTCTTTGTTGGAATGGGGATTAATAGATGATTTCATTGGGTGACTTTAGCCTCTGCTTTCATTCAGTATATGGGGGCACAAAGTTGTTTACTGGATTAGTTTAGTTCTTGTGGCCCATGATGGCATTATCTTCTTTTGTGCAGATTCTTATTCTGTCATAAAAACAATGAGCTATATTTAAGAGTTTGCACAATCTTTGAGAGTAATGATAGAAACTAAGAAAAGTTGACCATAGTAATGGAAATGTACATTTTTTTCACTTTAAACCTTGTACTGTGGATTTGCTAGAAAACATCATTGAGATTTCCCAAAACATTTGACTTTATCATTTCATCAGAATTGGTGATTTTTGCTAATGAAAATTTGAAATGTAATAAAAAATGTATTATAGTTGGACTGCTATATGGTTCTCAGCAGTGGATTTTTTCATAACAAACATTTTATAAGAGGTTTTCAGAGGGGAATTGATAGAATTTGAAAAGTAGGAGAGACCTAACAGGATTTATTTAGTTTAGTCACCTGTTTTTGCAAATGAGGAAGCAGGCTCAGAGTAGTGAAGTGATATGACCAAGATCATAGATTATTAAAACTAAGACTAGAATGAGGTCCCATGTCTAGAAATCAGAACTCTTGGTCTTAATGTTCTTTCTACTAGAGTCTAGACTGTACTGTCTTCCAGTACCTTTTCCTTAACAGTTTCTGGGGAGAAAAACTTCTGCAGACTCTTTTTGCAAGTTGCATTGGACAAATTTATGTGTAAGAATAACCCTCCTCCTGCCCTCAACACTAACCATCAGCAAGACTTTGTAATATTTGACAGGATGCTTTTTTCAGCCTTGGACATTGCTAAAGGCCTAAAGAGAAAGGAAAGGATCTTCATGAGGGAGGACCTTTTCTTTAAGGGAACCTATCGTAAGAGATGGGACTGGCCTAGTTTAACAAGGCCATTAGCTATCGTTATAGGGACAACAGAATTCATGCTAAATATTCTGATGCCTTGATAGCCTTCTTGTATATTCAGATGGTTAAGAAAAATATAAATAATTTAGGAATACTTTAATGCTAGAATTTTCCCAGTGATGCTATATAATGAATCAAAGACCATAATTTCAGAAGAGTCAAAATTTCAGGTGACCCAGAGGTCGATGGAAGATGCAGCTTATTACTGTGGATGTTTTTTGAGAATTGTCAAAAATTTCATAAGATTTGTACAATTAGAAATTCAGTTCACCGAACATTTATTAGTGGAGAGTCCTAACGGAACCTGTTGTAAAGGAGTTTAGGCTTAGGGGTTTACATAGAGCATGAAGGATGTAATAGAAGGACAGCCTAATTGCCATGATGGGGTATCCATAATATATTAAAAGAACCAGAGGAAGGGCTTCAGCACATGGGGTGGATCCTCCAAAGAGTATGTCTGGAAATCATGGGCAAGGGTCACACAGAAGATGGTGGAGAGGGCTTGCAGTCTGTACCTCTGGAAGGCATGTCTACCTGGACAATGTGCGAGATCCACTAACGTATAATGAACACTTGAAAATGGTTGTATGGGGTGTCATTTTAAAGTATTTAGTATTAGGAAGTAGTTTTTCAAAATGTATGATATTTATGGAATGAACTCAGATATATTGAGTTAAATTGTCTTTCTGTGTTTTTGATTCCACAGTCCATGCTGTAACACTGTTCCTAAATATCTTTGGATGCCTTGCTTGGTTTTGTGTTGAGCCTGGTAGAGGGGTTGATTTCGGACTGAGTATCCTGTGGTTCATGCTTTTTACTCCTTGTTCATTTGTCTGTTGGTACAGACCACTTTATGGAGCTTTCAGGTAAAATTTCAAATGTCATCTTTTGTAATTATGAAATGAATGTTATAGTAGATCTTAAGTGTAATAAAAATGTGACTCCTTTTCATTGTTAGGAGCTCTTTGACTCTACTTTGCCACATTCAGAAAAGAAAAATTCAACATAAAAGTTGCTGGAATAGAAAAGAAATTTTTTGCAATAGAAACATATAGGTAAAAGCTTGATATTTGTGAAAATATTCTATTGTGTGTGAGAAACTAACTTCCAAGAATATTTTGACTACACTTTTTCTTTTTTTACTGAAATGTAAAGTTAACTATTAAAACCTTTTAATTTTGAATGGTCGTTAAGGTAACTGTGAGTGATAATTAATGTAATGCAGTTTCATCTCTGCAGGTTTATGATTAGTGATTTAGTTATTTTCCATGCCAATTCATTTGCATTTTCCAAAAAAAAGGCAATGTATGGGGTAATGTTGTTCAGATAGTAAGAATAACAGCCATAATATCTTCACAAGTGTTATTTAGAAGTAATTTATGGCAATCCTGTATGGTTATATAAACTTAAGTAATAGTTAAGTGCTTTCCTGTGTCATTTCATTTTAATTTTAATCAAATCTAATCGATTTACAAGTGTATGCCATACTTTTCCTTTATTTTCCTTAGGGTAGCTTTACTGAAACAAAAATAAATGTCTTACTTTAGTCCTTGGCTAATATAATATTTGCTGTATGTTAGAAAATTTAAGAGGCTAGTGTACAATTTTTGTCAACAGAGAAATACAAAACACAAAATTGTCAAGAGGCTATAATGACATTTTTTCTTTTTAAAAAATCTTGTTTGTTGGTGTTCATTTTTCTTTTATATAGAAATCTGCCTTACTTTACAATTAAAAAAAATACTAATACACTTAACCATGAACAACTAAATAACAGATTCAGTTTTCTAATCCTTACAATTGTATAAACTTATTTTTACTTGGTTGTCTTTAATGTTTATGTATCTTACCCTTTTTTATAATTAGCTTGAATTTTTCCATGTTGAACCTAAAATGGAAGGAAAAGGAGAGGCAAGGTTGTAGGAAAGGTGTGCTGGGTAATAAAAAAGTATATTGGACAGAGATGGGGTAAAATGAAGAAAGTGAATAGAAAGAGGTAGGAGGAAGAGGAAGAAGGATGTAAGGAAAGAGTATTGTGAAGCTAGAGAAAGAGGACCTGTCACAAAGAAGCTTAGGCTATCTTATTTATTTTTAAACAGTTGGTTAAGGAGAATAGCAGCCAGAGAATTATAAGTATATATTTTATACTTGAATATGAGCTAGGACTTTCTAGTCCAGACTCACTTTACAGGTATTTATCTTGGAATCTCATCCATTTTCTTGTACCTTGTTCTGTTGAATCTACTTAAATGCATTAGGATTCACACACCTGAATTTGATATGTAGCCTAATTTGCCATTTGAAATAAAGATATTGGGGACAGGAATTTTACCCTAGCAATGTCAGTTTTTAACTGAACCCTGACCATAGCTTTTTAGTGATCACTGGCAATCTCCTTCCCTTCTGCCTGCCTTCCCCTGACTTTAAAAAGTGTCAGTATAATTCATAACATACCTTGAAGAAGTTAATTAGCTAAGCTTCACTTTTTAGACTTCTAGGGTAAAGAGAAGAATATTTTATGGAGAAGCTTAAGCAGATGTTATTAGCATACCTCTTGAGAGGGTAACTTTGGCATTTCCTTACCCAAGGGACAAACTTTGAGTTTCCTTAAACCTGCTTCACTAATTAAGTGCTCTTGGGAATTCTTAGCAGTTATAAAACTATTAATACTTGAGTTTAGATAGAGACGCAGCCTGGGGTAGTCAGCAGAGCACTGAATTTGGAGTTAGGAAACCTGGCTTGGAATTGTAGCTCTGTTATTCACTACCTGTCATCAACCAATAGACAAGTTACTTAACTATTCTAGGGTTCTTTTTTTTCCCTTAAATCTGTGGGCTAAATTTAATCAAAGGCCCTATGAATCCTGTGATCACTAGTTAAACATTTAATGACAGATATGAGATATGATCTCTTAAAGACTATAGAAATCCTAAAGCAGATAAATTAGTGATTACTTGTATTTTTTTTAAAAGGTAAGGGATCTTGAATCTAGGTACCCTGATGCTACACTTTTCTTGCCTTCACAAATTTACGATAAAGTTGATTGAACATTTAAAGTATTTGGTAGATAATTGGTGTTATGGTATGTAGTAGGTTTATGTTTACTGAATTGGAGTCATGCTGTTGGGTGACCATAAAGTAACAATTCCTCACATTTACGTGAGGAAATCCAAGAACCCAGAGAGAGAAAGCATGGTAGAGAGGGAATATTTGAAGTTCACCTGAGCCAGAAACATGTGATAGTATCACATACTACCATGATCTGGACAGAAAGGAAATTGATCAGTTTGGGAAACAGATCATGAGCTTAGTATGGTGATATGATATAGTAGTCATGGACAATTTCACAGTCACCTAGATATCTGTTGGAGCTCTCTCTGCCCAACTGGCTTACTTAATTCTTCAGAAGGTGATGAAACCAGCCATGGGGATGGCTATGTTTATTCTTAACAATAAAAAGGAAAAGGTTGCAAGGGTGGAAATGATGAGAATGTTGTGGAGAACTGATCATCATTAGAATTTGTGATGAAGAAGGTGAGGAAAGTGTAGTCTGGCAGGCACCCTATATTTTAGGGGACCACATTTCAAAGGCATTAAAATTCTAGAGGGGAAGTCAGTCCATTAGGGAAAGAAAGCTCTCATGAATGAAATTCTGAAGAAACAGAAAATAATTGTGATGAGGAAGAAAAGGGGGAGGATTTTTAAAAATCAGTTGGGTTATATAAGAACTAATTAAAAATGGTTATAAGATGTACAGAATGTAGATAACTAATGCAGAGGCCTGGCATAATCCAATGAAAACAGTATCAGGAGTGTTAAAGCTCAGAATGAGCTGTGGCTGATAAGGAACATTAAAGCCAACCACAAAAATCTCTTTAACTATACTCTCAAAAAGAGGAAGGTAAAAAAAAAAAGCAGAGGAACATGAACTAAGAGAGATGGGATAATGGTAGCAAGAGGTGGAGAGAGAGCAGAGGTGATCTATACTTACTGTGCGAAAGCAGTGATCATGGGATTGGAAGATAGAACAAAAATGACCAAGAGAGCACCTAACTGGCTTTGATTTAGTTAACCAGGCTTAGATGAACTACAACCACAGTTTTTGAAAGAACTCACAGATAAAATTGCTGAGCCACTTTCAGTGGTCTTTGTAAAGTCACGTAAAATGAAACAGATCATGTTACATAAAAATCAGTGAGGGAACAGGGGATAGAGTTTGTCTTGGAGAAGAGCAGACCCAAGGGAACATGCTAGCTGTTTCACGTGAAGCATTTGAAGGACTTTCGTGTAGATGAGAGATTAGGGTGCAAGTTGCAAAGAGGCACATTTAGACTTTATATAAGGGTGATGGTCCTAGAGCCATCCTAAAGTGGAAAGAGCTGCTGCCTTGGGAAGTTGTTGGTCCCTAAGGTGTTGATGGAGGTGGATTTTTAAAAAAGGAGGTGAGTACCAGACCCGGATATTATGGAGTGGATTCCTGTTTTAGTATGAGATAGACTAGATGGCTTTTGAGGTCCCTTCCAACTCAGGTTCTCTGTTGTATGCCTATGGTATGATCAACTATTCTGAAATAGCCAAACTATACGTTTTTATAGAGTATTTAGAATATTGGCAAGAAAATCCAAGGTAATTATGGCAGTCAGGTCCTAATGTAGTACCTCCTACATTCTAAGCACTTAGTACATCTTGAAATGTTTGAAAAATTTCCTCAAAAGATTGCATAAATGTATTGCCTTTTTGTTAATGAGAAATGTAATAATGCCTGATCCATGATGATGTCTTTTATGACACTGAGCTTTAATATACCTTAAATGCTTATTTTTTGTAAAATTTTACAGATAGCATTAGAATGGCAACATTTTTAAACTTGAAAACCAATTGAGTTTTTTCACATCATTCCTATTGATACTTGCTTTCTTAATCAATGTCAAACCTGTTTTCCCCGGCATTTTATCTGCCTTTGTCCACCTTAATTTGTATTATAATAATAAATGTGGTACCATCTTCTAGTTCTCTCTCTTCTGAATTTTAACCTCATCATTGTAAAATGCTAATTCGCTTTTAAATTAGTCTTTGGTTAGTGTTTTTAATGTTCTTGTCATACTTTGGTAGAGTACAGAAAATCTGAAAGATGGTTTTCTCTTTATTGAATTGATTCTGCTGGCATTCAATAAGAATATGAGAATTTATCCTTTAATAGTTAAATGATTTATGATTTCTTCAGCTTCAGCGTCCCTTCTATGATGTAGGTCCTAATCCCTCCGTGCATTTGTTCATTGCACCATCCTTTGCTGTCTTTTAATTTCCCTGACCAAAAAAAGAAATTAATTATCAACATTCTGATGATCGTTGTGGAACTGGCTGAAAAGTGAGGGAAGTGAATTGAGAACAGGCATGATGAACTGGGAGAACAGTGAGGGATTGGGAGTCAGGATCAGGTTCAAGAGAGTTGAAGGAACTAGCCTGTTTTTAGAGAGATAAATTTCCAAGTTCAGAAAATTTTACAGAGCTCATAGATCATAAATTTAGAGCCTGTGACCTCCAGGCTCTTCTAGTCTAGGGGTATCAAACTCAGGTCTCTGAATGAAGCAGATTAAAATGAAATTTGGAAATACTTAACAAGATAAATAAAAATACTATTTAACATTAGTGTATGGTTTTTAAAGTCAGTGTGTAGCCTGTAGGGATCTGTTTCTATTTGAGTTTGAGGGAACTGAGGCCTAGAGAAATTTAAGCATTTGCCCAAGGCCACAAAGGTAGTAAATAGTAAACACAGAATTTGAACCCAGATTCTCTCTAAATCCAGCACTCTTTCCATTCACTGTACACAGGGTTGTCATGTAGGAACAAGAATAGCTGGAAGTTC